TATATTGTTGAATTTTTCTTTTCTTTTTTAAAAAAATAAAAATAAAAATAAAAAAACATAGAGAGAAGATTTATCTATGTTGAATTTTTTGATTTTACCTGACCTTAAAGGGACTTTCACTGATAGTCCTTGTAAAAATGGACTACTCATAATCCTTTAATTTTCAGCAATCATATATGTATCAAAATATATCTGTTCTGTATATTTTTTTTAATTTAATGTGATTATGACTAAATTTAACGGTCAAATACTGAGACTATCAGAGAAACTTTTTAAATGAAAAATATTTTAAGAAAGTATATTGTCAAAAAAAAAAAGTTAAGCCGTAAAAATACATCTAGAGGAAAGGGGGAAGAAATGTCAAAAACAAGAAATAGTAAAAGTGAAAGGCAAAAAAAAAACAAAACAAAAAAACCAAAAAAACCAAAAAGCAAAAAGCAAAAAAAGAAGAAATTGACACTTGGCAGATCATGGTGCATTGAACAAAAAATATTTAACTCTTTTATGTATACTAGTCTTTGGCTAGGGGTGTTCGTCGGTTCGGTTTTGTCAGTTTTGGTCGGTTCGGTGGCCGAACCGACTATGTCGGTTTTCTAAAAGTTAGAACCGAAATCGAACCGCACCTATCAATTTCAGTTCGGTTAACCGAATTTCAGTTTCGGTTCGGTTTCGGTCGGTTTTGGTCGGTTTTCAGTTTTGGTAATCAGAAGGATGACCTCAGTTAACCATTAGGTTACCAGCATTTTTGACCCGTAAGTACGAAAAAATGTAAAATTTTCCTTCAATGTGAAGTTGCAAACACGTAATCATAATAAATGAATACAAGCACAACATCAAAATTGATAATTGCACAAACACAGGTTTAAAAACATTTAAATTGTCATAAGTAAAACAAAACAAAAATATAAAAAAAAAAAAAAATCCCATCTCGGTCGGTTCGGTTTTAACCGACTCTCTACACAGAAAACTGAAACCGAACCGACTTTTGAGGATGTCGGTCGGTTAACCGAACCGAATGTGTTCGGTTCCACGTGGCACCGTCATTTTCGGTTTTGAGCGGTCGGGTTTCGGTCGGTTTTCGGTCGGTTTCGGTTTTACGGTTTTTTTGTACACTCCTATCTTTGGCGCATCCCGCTCGTGATTTGTTTAAAAATAACGATTATATAATTTTTTTTAAAAGGTGACAGAAAAAAAAGATACCTCTTACTAAAAAAATATTGTAACTTTTTTATTGTGTTTTTAAATTAGTTTTATTATGTTTTGTTTGAATTTTTTTTCTTAATTTGGTGTGATTTTATTTTATTTTAGCTCTAACACATTTTCATTTATTTTTCATTAGAATTATTTACAACAATTTCATGCGAGTAGTATTAAAAAGTTGGTGCAAGATAGTAGTAAAATGGTTACAATTCATACAAATTATCTATATATTTTTTATCTGCGTAATATAAAAAATTTGAAATCAAGCTATAATTGACTTAAAAATAAATAAACATAATAAATAATAATAATTGAGAAAAAGAAAATTATTTCAAGTCATACACGTGATCTATTTAAAATAATTAATATACAAATTGTTTTAAAAAAAGCGAAACGAACGGAACAAAAGGCATAAAAAAACGTTTTAGAATACAATGACTTAAATTCTTTTTAATTGGGTCTTGAAAAGCTCACGATGCGACATATATAGTGAAACTTTAATGATGAAAATTTTTTAAGGATTTGTGGTGCTAACAAAGAAAAAGTTTTATTTGTGTAGTATAAAAAATTTAAAACAAAACTAATTAGACCACAAAATCACTCTAAAATAAATAAATAAATATGGGTCCGTTCACTTCGCTGATTCGAATTTGTAATTTGAATTGAAATGTGATTTTATGTGAGAGCTTTTTACTGTAGTAAAACTCGAATTTTAAACTCGAATTAGTGAAGTGAACGGGGCCATAATAACTAATAATAATAAAAAAAAATCGGCAACCAAACGGCCACGATGGGCGTGTGAAGAACACGCGCGAATAGCAGCACGTTTGGCATAGGGGCAGGGGACAACTCGGCAGCTTTTGTGCAGGTGGGCCCGCCACGTTTTCCTTTCTCCAATGAGACAGCGACACGTGTCAGTGTTGTCGGCCACTATAGTCATGCTCGGGATTGAGTGCTTCGTTTCTACATGAGCTCAGTTTTTTTATCCATTTAGTTGTTGACACGCGGGCTCTCTTTTCAGCAAACAAACATCCGCCGCATGGAAAGCACTTTCGGGGCCTCGTTCACTTCACGGATTCAAGTTTTTAATTCGAATTGAAATGTGACATTTTCTGAGAGTTTTTCACTGTAGTAGAAAAAATTAATGTGTTATTTTTTAAAAACTTTTGAACTAATGTGGTTAATTTTAGGGGGAGAAACGGACAAAACGTTTTGTCTCTCCCCAAAAAACATGTTCTCCTTAGTAAATACGGTCAATATTTATAATAGAGTGCCTATTGACACTTATTTTTTTACTTTTTACACGCTCCTTTTTATCATTTAAAAATTATCCATTAAAAGATTACTATTAAGGACAATAGTATTTTAAAAAAAAAATCCTCATTGCACACATCATTAAAAATAAATGAGAAATGCTAAATAAATACTCTATTACAAACTTAGATCCTACCATATTAATTTGTTAAGGTATTGAGCTCAAGGCATCTGAGCTCAAGATATTGAGCTTGGGAATTTGAGCTTAAGATATTGAGTTTGAGCTTAAGATATTGAGGCTCTATTCCAGTGAGGAGCCTCTGTTTTTTCATATTCTCAGTTGTTAGTTGTTGGTTTTTGTGTATCCGTAATTCTTGATTGCTTTTGTTATTTTGAGATTCTTTTTATAATCTCTGATGAAGTTTGCGGAGAAGTCACTGGATTTAGTGGGTTTCATTTTTATTAAAAAAAAGAGTTAAATGCATTTTTCTTTTAAGGCTATGGATCAAATACTCAAAATTAAAATAAATAAATTAATAAGACTGGAGACTTGTAACAAGGTTTTGCAAAAGGGTGAAAGTCAGAACTAACGGTGGAGACCATCAATTATTCCATTAGTGATTCCTTTTTATTACGCTGATGTGTCAAAATATTATTTTGTGGACAGAGAGTGAGACAGAAGAAATGGACAAAGGATCTGGATTCGATCATAAATATACTACTCAGGCCAAAAAGCATTTGACATCTACTATCTCTTCAAAATATACAACACTTATACAACACGCTATTTGCCATCGTTTGATTTTTATCAAAGAGCTGTCTTAACGTGCTCCACCGGTGGGTATTTTTTAGGGGTTTCATCGTAATTTTTAACAATATTGTCAATTGTCTACTTAATAGTTGTTTCCATAATGTATTCCACATGTAAAGGTAGTTATGAATTTGTAAAACTATTTTTTATGGGTGGTTAGCAAAGGATGAGAATATCATATAAGTTATTTTATAAATTTAGATGCAAATATAATAATTTTTGAACTTTTTTCATCCATACTTAATGGATATATATGTAACTAATTTTATTCTTTTTCCTTTTCCCATTAGAAGAGAAGAGTGCATAAATCTAGATTTTTTTATCCCTTACTTTTAATTAATACCCTTTTAACTAATGTAGTTATTTGACATAAAAAGATATTAATCAAGAGCGTAGAATAAGAGTCCGGACTCATGCATTTTAATGACATGTTTACCTACGCGTAATCGAAATTGACATGAATCGGAGTGAGTCGGATTCGGAGTGAGGAATCAGAGTAAGAATAAGTTGTTTACTTGGTAACAGAATTCGGAATCGAAGTTACTCCAAACTCCATTCATGCATTTACTTACACTTGGAATTAAAATGAAATAGTGTAAAAATACTAATATATCTTTTACGTCCATTTTATATTTTAATTTTTTTAAAATAAATTATGTACTTATTATATTAAAATTAATCCTAGTTAAAATATACATTGTATAATTATTTAAAATATAAAAGTTAAAATTTAAATAAAATAAATAAAAATAAAAAGTGTTAAAAAATTAAAATATATTATTAATTTATTAAACAAATAAAGTACATATTAATTATATTAAAGTTAACAATTATTAGGCTAATATTATAATATTAGATAAATAAAATATAAATATACGTTGTAATTATCATTTTTTGAATTTTATTTTAAATTTTATATTTATAAGTAAAATAGAGGTATGATAATAATTTAATGTTAATATCATATTTGAGAGTCTCAAATCTCGAAGGGTTATGAGAGTGTTAATCTCATTCTTCAATTGCAAATTTGATTGGAGCCCATCAATCTCACTCTCGATGATAAAAAATGATTATTATTATTGGTGCCCATAAATTTTAAGATCATTCTCAGTTTCCACCCTAAACATTAAAAACTCTCACTTTGTCCCATAAACTTTGAATTGTTCTCACTTAACTCATTTTGTTGTAATTTATGTTAAAAACATATAGGAAAAAAGAAAGTAATACAATCATCTAGTTTTTCTGTTTGAATTTTTATTAAAAATAAATAAATAAAACCACATAGCCACACTTAAACCCCCATTTTTTCCTCTACTTTTAACAAAAATTACAATATAAGGGTTAACAATTTAAAATTTAGAGAACAAAATAAAATTAGATGACACTAAAATTTAAGAACACTAGTAATAATAATCCTAAAAAAAATAAACATAAAATTGACTTTTAAGGTTCGTTTAGTTCGTTAATTCGAGCTTTTAATTCGAGTTGAGATGTGGTTTTATGTGAGAGCTTTTTACTGTAACAAAAAAGTTAGACGTGACTGTTTCTGAGAGCTTTTTACTATAACAAAACTCAAATTTTAAACTCAAATCGATAAAATAAACGGGCTTATTTCTCTTTCATTCCTCAATTTTAATAAGTAAATATGCTGTAAGGGTATTTCCCTTCTTTACTCTATGCAGAAGGAGAAGCGTCTCTTTGGAAGTGTAAATCCCATAGGTAAGAAGTATATGCTTGGGCTTGGGCTGTTGGTAGAATTGGGGCTCTTTTTAGGGTTTGGGTTGAATTGAATCTGATCCAAATTTCCATATTCTATCTAATTCCAATTAGCGGTTATAGATCTCGTTCTTCTTCTTTCATTACAACTACACAGTAACTTCCCTTGATTTTTCTTCTTCTCCTTCTCCTCCTCCTTCTTCTTCTTCTTCCCACTTCTTGATCTTTCTTTTTGTTTTCTATTTCTTGATTTGAAATTACATGAAATTACATAATTCGAACTTCGTTTGAAACCTTTCTTTCTTCTATTTCCGTAGGACAAGATTTTCCCATGTTTACGTGAACAAAAGCCACAAATTTCCTTGTTTATGTACTGATTTCAAAAGCAACCGACCAAGCCAATCTTGGTTCCTCGCGACATGCCTGCTATGAAGAAGGTAAAATGAAAAAAAAAAATTATTTTTAATTTTTGTTTATTCTTGTGAATTTTGATATTTGGGTTATCAGAATTTAGAAGGACGTCACATTGAGAGTGTATTCAACAAGTTGATAAAGGGCATAGAAAACCCAGTTGATTTTGAACTTCCAGATTGGTTCATTAAGTCAAGACCAACCATGCCCTACACTTTCATTAAGCGCAGTATCCTTTTTCACTCTCATTTCTATATATTTTGTCAAATTTATAAACTTTCTGTTTATTTGAAAAATGCCCTTTTTTCTGTCCTTTTGTTTTCTTTTTGACAATAAATTTAAGATATATATCTGACCAAGAAGATTAAAAAACGACTGGAAGATGATGGCATATTCTGCTCCTGTACTGGATCCTCTGGCGTTTGTGGTAGAGACTGCCATTGTGGGTAAGCTTTATCTTTCTTGCTCTTAATTCTCCTATCTATCCTTTTGCTTGTGTTGATACTTGGGACTTTTGTTTTTCTCAATTTCATACATAAATAAGCATTGCCATTGTGTCTCTTATCTTATCTTTTAAGGATTTAGGAGCAGAGAATTTGTTAATGATAAGAATGCAGAAATAAAGAAGTGAGAAGATAATTAAGGCTCTTTTTTGTTTTCCACTTTACTAAAGCTTTGTGTGGTATATGGGATAGGGGTGGGACTTGGGAGTATTAGGCTCCGTTCGTTTCACTAGTTCAAACACAACTCAAATTTTTGTTACAATGTTTTCTCTTATAAAACTTCAAATTCAACTTTTTCCATATATGAATTCACTTTTTAACTCAAGTTCTCAACTCGAATGAGCGAAACGAACGAGACCTTAGTGTTGGGTTTTGGGACTTATGGTTGTTTTGTGGGAAACAAATACAGGAGGGAATGATTTGGGTGAGAGATTCGAAATCCTCCACTAGACCCCAATTTGATCCTTCTAATATTAAAAAGATTGAAGGCAGGAATTCATACCGAACATAATAAGAGAAAGGTGTTCCCTTTCATCTGGGCTAGATACCTCTCATTCCTTTCTATTTTCTTTCCTTCTTATCAAACACAACGTAAGAGATTGGTTTACTATGTTTTAGATGTACGTTTTTCTTTGGGTTCTTGCTTGTTCTCCTACGTGATATTTCTTTTTTTTTTTTTTTTTTTTTCTGAATTTCGAGAGTTTATTTTTTGCACACAAAATAAAAAAAAAAAAAATTGAAAAAACAGGAACTAGGTGGCCTATTCTTGAAATTAAAAATAATAAAGAATCAAGGATAGCCATTTTCTTTATTTGATCGGTAAATATAAGATTTCCATCTATGGTTAATTGCGTTGTCCGTTATGCACTATGCAGAATGCTTTTGTCTAGCTGCTCTTCAGGTTGTAAATGTGGAGATTCTTGCCTCAACAAAGCATTTCAACAACGACCCGTGAAGAAAATGAAACGTGTGCAGGTATAAGCATGTGAGATGCCTTTGAAGTCCTACGTTAATGTTCCAAATATTCATCTATACTCTATAGTTTTTGGTAAATGAGGAAGCTATTGTAAGGACAATGGAAGCCAAAGACTTTTAAGGTGTAGAGGCAAGTTTAAAGTTGACTTAATTAAAATTTTTTAGGTTGTCTGGTTGTGTCTACCTTATCTTGAAACTAATGTTGAGGAGGTTGTTCCCTCTTGAACGGCTTCGACGCTTTTGAAAAAGATTTCCTTCTTTTACCTTTTTTCCTTTTTTTTTTTTTTAATATTTCATTTCTTTTAATACTAATTTCTAACTATTAATACTGCTACATTTCTATTGTGTTTATCATCATTGGGTTACATAGTCAAACTTGATTCAGTTATTGCTATCTATCTCAATTCCTACCTAAGAAAAAATACTTAGTAGCTGGATGTACAAATTAACGAGACAAGGATTTTGCTTATTTTTTATAATGAGGCCAAGAGATTGTGTATTTTAAATTTAGAGGAGTGTTTGTGCAGCTAGTAGCTCATTCTTTGAGATAAGCATCCAATTACCATCATGATTAAAGACAGAAGTTAACTGAATCTGTGTTTTGCTTTAACAATTTCCCTTTTTTGAGCGTAAAAACACCTTATATATTCTTTTGCTTAATTGTCCTCTAGTTCTTGTTAAACTGTTCACGTCATTATTAAGTCCAAGGTGTTGCTTGTAGACCCCAAAATGTGGTTTTGGAATTTTGGCGGATGAAGATATCAAGCAAGGAGAGTTTGTAATAGAATATGTTGGAGAAGGTGACACCTCAGAGGCTTTGCTCTTTTCCTCACTTGAAGAGTGTTTAACTGTTTAGTTAATGAGTTATTAATCCATGCTTGTTCCTTTTTTACGCAGTTATTGACGACAAAACATGTGAAGAAAGACTTTGGAGTATGAAACACCGTGGAGAAACAAACTTCTACCTGTGTGAAATCAACCGAGATATGGTTATTGATGCAACATACAAGGGAAACAAGTCAAGATATATAAATCACAGCTGTTGTCCCAATACTGAGATGCAAAAATGGTCCTATATTGACCCCCTAATATATGATTTCAGAACCAATAAATTCTGTATCTTATTTATTCATTCTATTTTTTTTAAAGGATAATTGATGGTGAAACAAGGATTGGCATATTTGCGACACGTGACATTTCAAAGGGCGAGCATCTAACCTATGATTATCAGTATGCACACTTGTAACATTTTATTTCTATTTTCTTCCTTACTCTGTAAAAAAGCTTTTCTTTAGATATTATATTTGGGTGAACCAGTTCTCACAATATGTGCTAAGAATAGAAGATTTGAAGTTTTATATTTCTTAGTTCGGTCTAATAAATTATGTAGGTTTGTGCAGTTTGGTGCAGATCAAGATTGCCATTGCGGTGCTGAAGGCTGCAGGAGAAAACTTGGTGTGAGGCCAACGAAAACCAAGATATCATCGGATGCTGCATTGAAGCTAGTAGCATACCAGGTTGCTTTGTCTAGAAAAGATGTATGTATTGTTGTTCCTGTGGTTTTTCCATACTTCTTGAAATAGTTGATGAAAATGGCATATATTGCATAAATTTCGTGTTTTGCATTAGATACCCGTCATAGGTGTAAATTTAAAGAAACAAAAGGGAAGGGAAAATCATGATAAATGTCTGTTTTGGAAACATTATTTAGGTACCAAACCATATGGAACAGCCTGCATTATCATTTTTGCAAGGGAGCCCCTGTTTTTAAATCATTTTCCAGTGTTGATAATATATTACTTTTGCATTATTAACGTAATATGCTTGTTGTATTCCGCCCTTGTTATTTTGGGTCTCTCATTGTCTTTTTTTATTTATATTTTTTATGTATTTATTGTTTTTTGAACAGGCATACCAGAATGGAGATCTGCATATAGGTAAAGTCAGGTTACTGACCCTTGTTTAATTAGATCAAATATTACAAAGCTTTCTATCAATCACTGCATGTCCGTGCATACACAGTAAGGTTTTTCCTTGTTAGTTATTGATCTTATTATCTCTCTCAGGGAGCTCTCAACATGGACGTAACAAAAAAACTTTTGTGTCTAACTGCATTGGTCAACTCGTTATGATAAGCCGCCCACATGTTAGGTATTCTCTCTCCGGAATGTCTCTCATATCTTCTAAATACGCCCTCATGTTCATTGTAAAGTTTCTCAAGCCATGCTCCAAATATAACCTGTCATTTTTCTTGCCTTTTAAGATTTTTGGCCGCATCCCTTTTTTGCATTTATTTATTTATTTATTTTTTGGGCATTACACTTAAATTGATGCATGTTTCTTCTCTATGTATGAAATGATCCAGGTCCTTTGGGATTATTAAACGGTTTGATAAGTATTCCAGAAAACACAGGGTAAGAGATTTCATTGTTAATTTTAAGAGGGGGGGGACAAAAAAAAAAAGAAAAAGAATTCATCATTTTCTTCTTGTTGCAGATTTTGTTTGATAACGGACATAGTGAATTTCTTGACATGTCAAAGGAGGATTGGATACCTATACCAAAATGACATAATTGTGAGGTAAGAAAATGAATTGACATTTGAAGAAAACTGTGAAGGGCTTCGAAATGAGCAGTAGAATTTTTAGATTCTCTTTAAAAGTGTTGCGTTCTGTTGAGAGCAGTGGTCGGCCGAGTAATTGAGAATTTTAAAATGATTTAAGTGGTTTGAACGATAAAATTTAATTAAAAATTCTGCCTCCTAATTTTTTAACTGGTCACAAACTAGAATGTTCACAATCTTGCCTTCTATATTTCCTGTGAAAAAAGAATTGTTCTCGTGAATGTATCTTCCATTCTGTTTTTGTAGGATGGGCAGTCGAATTTGGCGACGATTGATTTTGGGTTCTTGTCTCTTTTGTTACATAAAGTTAGACATTAATTGTTGTAAGGAGTGTTGTAAGAATATTACGATAGCATCATTGTAGACTGTTAGGCAGTGCATTTTGTATTAATTGCATAGTGTTCACAAGAATGCTATGCTAGTATTCAGTTGGTTGTATTTATTTTGTTTGTTGTCGTTTCTTTTAATCCCTTTTTTAATCTTCTTTTAATCTTCTTATTTCTTTTGTTTGGACCTCATATGGAATTTGTAGGATTTTTGTAGTTCTTAAGGAGAATGATCTCTTTGGAAATTTGGAGTAATTTGATTTTTTGATTAGTGATTGCTGGCTTGTTTTGTATTTAGAAAATTCTACGACTACGATGGAAGAAGCTATGTGGAATTAACAGAACATTTTAGTATTGAATTTTTGTAATCCTTAAGAATTTGGTGATCTTATAAGGACGAATCAATTTTTTATGCTTCTTACATATTCGTTTATGAACTTTGAGTTGATTAAGTGAATTCATGTGAGAGAAAATACTATAGAAGTTGAATTTGAATTCGTAAAAGGAAAAAAAAAAAGTAGTAAAAATTTGAGTTGTGATTCGAACTAGTGAAATGAACGGGGAGAATCAACTACTAAAAAGTATATGAAATTATATACCTTTTGAAAAATTATACCTATTTTAACTAATTGAAAAATTATATAAAAGGTATTTTCTTGTATTTTTCTTAAAAGGAATAATTATATAAAAGGTATTTTCTTGTATTTTTCTTAAAAGGAATAATTATATAAAAGGTATTTTCTTGTATTTTTCGTCCTTATTGAAGAAAAGTATATATTGAGCATTACACGCTAATGGAATGTATGTAGGTCTTAAATTATAGAATCTACGGATAGATCCTACAATTTAGCAGCCAGTTGAATTAGCTATTAAACTCTAGACGATGCGTCAACATTACCCCCTCCCGAGCTACTAGGTGCACTCTGCGGATCATGAGGCTTCATGTTTTTCCCTTCTTTTACATGACGTTGAAGAGCTTTTACGATGGTAGTAACCGCGAGTGTGATTAAAAGCTTCTCCAAGTGGTCAGTTTTTGCGACTACATGTCGGAAAATCCACCGGAATTTTGTTTGCACGTGCTTCAAGTCAACGGCCATAAGCACAAAGGCTTCAACTTTTGTGTGTGACTTGACATTTGAGGTATAGATGGGGACATTTTTCAAGGATTCCTTTGATAACATTTCACAATGTAGGAGTTTTTTAATCAGCTTTCTATAGTTACTCTACGATTCTGTTTATTTTACCGATTCAAATTTAAAATTTAAGTTTTACTACAGTAAAAAATTATCTGAAACAGTCACATTTAACTTTTTTGTTATAGTAAA